GTGTAAAGCTGTCTCTATCCTGGTATCCTCTATTTACTGTACTGATGAATTGATCTTTTCAGGGAAAAACACTTTCATACACTAAGGAGGGCAGGATGTAAAGGTGGGGTGCCATGTCCATCCAGCCAACCAGTTGTCAACAGAAGTGAAGGAGGGGGAAGAAGGGTTTTGATCTGTTTGCTGTTAACTTAGCTGTATACAGTCAGAGAAGGAATGGACCCTCAAGGAGGTCCACACAAAAAATGAAGTCATCAGAATTATAGCTGGAGGCTAATCTAAAGAGATGTTATAGCCAGGCCTGCAAGATAAACAGAAACTTGAGATTGTATTGTAATTAGCAGCACCTGGTCCAGTGGGCCCAGAGAGGCATCAGATGCATAGGTGGGTGACCAGATCATCAGGACGCTCATAACTCTTCCCTTGCCCAAAATGCCTTTGTTCTTTCCATGTGTCCTTCTTATGTGACTGGTTTCCCTACATCAATATTAGCCAAGTGGCTGTACTTGAAATTCTGTAGGTTGATTGTAGTTTGATTCACATTGTATCCACATTGTGGTTTTGCTATATGTGTTACCCATGACAAAGGGCCTTGGTGGCCACTGGTTTGGGACCCCTCCTGTCTCTCAGTTTTCTCTTAATAGACCTTGCTACTCTAACTTCTTTTGTCCCTTGGAATTCACTCAACCATATTTGGGGGACAAGAACTCGGTGCATTTGACATCTCTCAGTCAGGAGTTACGTTTTTCGTTCATCAGTGGCAGTTTCAGTGTGAGAACAAAGAAATATAAATTTGGATTCCTAGATTTGCCTCTCAGCTCATTTACCCACTGCAGACTGGAAGGAAGAAGCCAGCCCCCAAACTGGGGAAGATATACCTGTCCTGTGAGGGGGAAGAAAAGCCCTGAGTCTTGAGCTGAGCCCCGCTCCCCCGCATTTCCAAATAAGCTCATTCTCCCCTCATTGGGAATATGTTTGAACTGTGGCCTTACCTGTGGCCTTACCCAGAACCTTGCTGTTCTGTCCTTTTGAGGACAATCTCCTTCTCAGTTGGCACACACCAAAAACCCTTAAGGGGGAAGAAACAAAAATAAGACATCATTTTCCTTTTAACTTTTTATAAAAGAAGACATCCTTAAGATAAAGCACCAGGGTTTGGTTTGGTTTGTTTTGTTGATTCATTTTTGTGAGGGGAGTAGCTAGTCTTTATTTCTTCTCTCTCTCAAAATATGGGTGGTGTGTGTGTGTGTGTGTAAGAAACAGAAAAAGAAAGCATGTGAGCAAGTGGAAGCTTGATCCAAGCTCTGACATACACATGTCATACAGCCATTTTATGGAAACACTGACAGTTCAGAGACACATGTAAACATCCCCAGGGAGAGTTAGGCAAGCAGGCTTACTTAACTCAGTTATTTAGGGAGTAGAGTTGTGAATTTTAACATTTTCATATGCGACTGTTTGTTAGCTTTCATACAATAATTTATTTTATATATGGTAAGTAACTATCACTTTAGTTCAATTAAACAGATTTTATTTTCACTCTTGTGAAAATTGTGTGCCTGGGATTTATTTAATTTTCTTCCCTTAGTCTGTAGCAGCACAAATGGAAAACCATTAAATGAATGTGGTATAAATGCATTTTTCTCTTCTTTTTCCATATTTGCAATTAGAACCTTAAAAAAAAGGAGTCCAGGTAGGCTTTGATGCTACATTCTTTTGATGTAACAGGGTGCCACCAGAAACAAGGTGGCAGTGACTGTGCTGTCCTTTCCTTTCCCTACACTTTGCCCTTCTCATTTTTAATCTTTTCAGAATCCTTTGTTCATTTGGTTCCATTCATGGCCTGGCTTTTCTTGTGCTTTCCTGACATACTTGTTTCCCAGATCAGTGGCCTTTGCTCTATTCATTTGGCAGCATTTTCCAAATTGGAAAAGAAAAGCCAACACAAAGCTTTTCATGTTACTTAGAAGGTCTCCTCTACTGCCCTCTCTTCCTCCCACTCAGTGCAAAGGCCCTCTTCCTCCTGACCCCAGAGCTCTGCTAATTCATCACAATTCAGTCAAAAGTTCTACTTGCTTTGGGAACATGTACTAAATCACATCTGTTCTCTGAACCTCAACTTGCTCATGTTTCTCATCCTTCTCTCTTGGTCAGCAAAGACACCTGCCAACATTGTGCCCAGCTTGGGAGATAAAAAACTGTGATGTGCTAAGTAGACATCAGTCCTCCTCACTGCTATAAAATGAAGCAGAGAATGTCCACCTTGCTAGGAATGCTGTAAGAATCAAAGGTGATAGTGCACCAACCAGCATGTACCTAGGTGCTCAGAACATGTCAGCTGCTGTGACCGTAATCAGAGGCAGATGGACAAGATCATGTTGCCCTGTCTTGAAGGTTGATTTTATCTCACAAGCTGATCTTTCACTTGCGTTTCTGGCTTTCTCCTGCAACCCATTCTTTTTATTTTGGACAGATCTTTTTCCTTCTAATCTGCCCTTCTACCCCATTTTTCCTTTTTTCTGTCAAGAATGCAAACATTTCTTTTATTCTCTGCATTGAAAAGTGAGTGCTTTTAATTCCAATTTTTGTGAAACACAGTATTCTTTTTAATTTTTCTTTCAAGCACTAAGTCCAGCAGGAAATCCTGAGGACTCCTCCTTTGCAGATCTCTTTCATTCTTCCCTTCTGTGTGCCTTGAGCATGATACCAGTCCTTTTCTTATCTAAATGTTTATTACTTGAATGGTGGGATCTGGCTCCTTGCTTTACTTTCTAAGGTAATGGAAGTGTATGGGCATAGCAGAAGGAAACTTTGTCTCTTTCAGCTACATGTTTGAACATATTTAGCCGTGTGAGTGAAACCATAGGGTCCTTTAAAGTCTACAGTAATCAGATACTGAGGTAACTTTAAGGATGGAGTCCATTTGTTTATTGCAGCTATGTTGGTAGCTTTTGTTTTTAGTTTATTTTTTCTCCTGACAGTTAACTTTTGAGTTAATGGTATTTAAAGTTTAATTACTTAGTAGGGGTCTTCCAGAAAACATGAGGCTATATCCTTTTGACTTATGGATATCTCCTCTATCTATGTCTTAACATGAATGCATGATTATAAGTGAGTTGGTTTTTTGAATGTACATTTTCTTATAAAAAGTTGCTGTTTATGATATTACCACTACACCATTTGTTTTCCTCACTGCAATAATAGTATACCTATTCTAACTAGAATGCAATGGGAAAAATGAGAACCTATTACCTTTTAAAGTTTAGGGTGGAGCCACTAGGACTTTCTTGTTATTTTTTAATGTCAACTTTATTATTTATTTGGTCACAAGTATCTTTTGAGCTTGAGCTATTCAGGATCTGTGCTAGGTGCTGCTAATAAATGGTGGTGATGTCTTCAGAAGGATTTAGCAAGCTGAAAGGCTGTCTTTATAGGATCCACAAATTAATATGCTCATTACATTTTGAAAGGATTATTAGGAAAGAATATGTAAGAGAGACCTGTATGTGACCCACAAAATTTGAAATATTTTTCTGGTTCTTCACGGAAAAGGCCTGTAATGCCTCTGTCCTTTTAAAGCTTCGATCTTAATAAGAAAGACCAGTCATAAGCAAGGGAAGAAACAGATGAAAGAATTCTCGGGTTCTGGTAGATCCTGGGCAGTAGGATTGGAGAGTGAAGTTGGGGCAAGGGAGCAAGTGTAAGAGTGAGAGTCTCTGAGGAGGTGACTGAGATCAGACCTGAGCAATGAGCATAACCAGCCCTATGTGGAACTGGGTTTGTTAACTCATGTCACCCTTAAGTTCCACTTCTCCCTTCACCACTATATGCCTGCTTCTCCATGGGGCTGAGGTAGTTGTTGGTTCTTAGGAAGCTTTTTGAATGTTCTCTGTGGATAGTAATCACATGGCACTGTAACTGCACATTTATTTTCATGACCCCTTCTACCCATTAGACTTGAAATATCTTGGGGGAAGTGTACATCTTGGTTGGTAATCATATCTCTCTAGTATTTAGCTCATCAACTAGGTTGAACAGTTAAATGGAGTCTGCCATAAACTTAGTATTAGATTCTTATGAAGCATGTTGTGAAAATCAAGAGGCTCTTCTGACAAGCAGATTGTTTAATTTCTGTCATTTACCTTTTTAAAAAATACATCTTTGCCATGCCATCTTCTGTATTCCAAGTACTTTTCCTCTTTAATTTCTAGAATATAATTCTCAACCATTACGGCACATGCCAGTTTTTCTCTCTTATTGAAAAATATCATTTATCTAGTTGATTAAGACAAAACTGGGAAACTGTTCTTGATTCTCCACATTCCCTACCACTGCCTATCACATCCAGTCTTTCAGCACTTGTACCTTCAAAACTACTCCTTTTTACCATCTTTACCACCAGTTCTAGCCTAGGCCAGCTCTATCCTTTACCTAGGCTTCCGGTAACATACTGCCTGGTCTTTTTGCTTCCAAATTTATGTCCATTATTCACACAGAAGTCAAACATCTCTTAAACACAAAATAGGGTCAGCCCTTCTTTTGAATACCCCTGTGACTATCAGACTTAAAAATTTGAGCTACACATACATACGTACATACAGATGTACATACATACATGATAAACATAAAAGTTTCATCTTACAGCCCTGTGTGGACTGGCTACTGTTCCTCCACCCTCATATCTTCATTATCCTCTGCTTTTAACTGCACGGTCTCCCTACTTGTCCTGTTTATAATCCTTTATTCCCTATTGTCCATTGAATTACTAAGTGGAACTGTGTGTTAATTTAGTTGACATTGTGATTACTTAAAACTCTATCCTGCAAATTAGCACAACTACGGTGAAATCACATCCCACAGGCATGCCCACTTCTGATTCCATTTTCAGGTTCATGGTACTAAATATCCATGGTAACAAGCAGCTGACCAGGGGGAAGGAAATTGACATCCTTATTGTACTCTAATGTATTTTCTTTTTTCCTTTTTTCTTTTTTGCAACACAGAATATGAGTTGGAAGTAAAGAGGGTGCAAGACATTCTTTCTGGAATAGAGAAACCACAGGTATGTTTTCTGCATTTCTCAGTGTAAATGACACTTCATTAAGTATTTCAAAACTACTTTATTAAGTATTTCAAATGTACTTTTCTTTTGCTTACATAGTAGATAAGCAAAAGAACCCCATTCCCATTGATGATTATTTATAAACTATGAAATATGGTGGTCAGTTATTAATGGGACATGAAAATATACAACAGCAGTCTTCTGTAGTTACCTGCTGAAATGTCATCTTTATTCAGATATTCTGAATGCACTTAGGTATTCTCAACTTCCAAGGATACATTTTTTTTTTCTTTTGATAATTTCCTTTTACCTAGGTAAATGTAGCAATAATAATTTCTGAAAACCTCAGAAATTCCAAGTATTTTTCCAAATAAATTTCAAAAAGATATTTAAATATTACTTGAGAAAAATAAGTTCAGGACATTGGGTGCAATGGCAAGGAAAAAATCTGGGAGCTGTGATATTGTGAGGTTTTAAGTTTGATTTTGCCAGGTGCTTTGAAATTCAAGTGAAAAATTCAGATTGTTGATTCAGCCTTTCATCTGAGATTAGAGAGCCAGAGTTCTTTGGAGTGTTTTCTAGCTGAGTTGGAAAACTTTGACTCTTCATGTGTTTCAAATACTGAGGCTTTTTCACTGAAAGGTCCAAACATGCCTCAGGGTACATAGTTGAGTTTGACGAAACCTAAAACATGTGGGTGTTTCAGAGGAGGGGCATAATAAGGCACTTGTGGAGGCGTGGGGCCTTGATGTATGGATGGGGTGTCTGAACTACTCTGGGAAGGAGCAGGCTACCAGTGGGGGTTTTTGAGAAGACATTGAGTAGTCAGAGCTGCATTTTCAGCATGACCCAAGCAGTTGGCAGATGGGTTGGTGTGAGAAGTGGGTGGACCCAGGGAGAGAAGTGTCAGGAATGTGCTAGTGCAGTCTAGTGAGGGGCTATTGGAGCAAAATTAGGATAATGGTATCAGGTGTGGCACGGCCATTCTCTTAGCGAGAGTGATGGGGTCTGGGGCAGGTGTTTTTTGGTGTGTGACCAATAAAGAATGGGATGTAGCAGGTGATGGTAAGGAAAAAGCATTAAAGTTTATTAAGGCAATAGTATGCTCGGGGTGAGCAGGATCATGCCTGTGATAAGAAAGTAGCATGAGCAATGGGAGCATACAGTGTAGGTGTTAAAATACTGTGCTGGTTTAGGGGAACCTCTCTGGGGGATCTTTATGATTTACAACATGATTGACAGGGTATTGAGTCATGTCAGCTGCATGTACTGCACATATCCTTTTGTATAATTTATCCTGTTACAATTGCACGTATGCAATGTAGTCTATATGAACCCTTGATGAGGTCCAGGTGAAGAAAGTTCAGTGTAGGTCAGCCACACATGTGTCCTGGTTTAGAGTTTTGGAATTTTTCAGGGAAGGTTTGGGGTGTCTTTGCTTTTATTTTATCCCTGCCTCTGGGTGGGTAGTAAGACTGGGGCCAAGGGTTAAGGGGAGGTGGCCCTGGGCCACAGAAGTTCAGTTAAGTGGAAGGGAGTACTCCATACCCCTAATTGTATTATCTATATTAATTCTAGAAATACATCAGTAAGACTTTATAACCTATTAGATACCAGGTGTTGTCATGAGTAACTGAGCTTTCAGTTGAAGATGCTTTCTCTTGAGTTGTATCCTCATTATTGTCCTCATAGTCGTTATTTAGTACCACCGGTACTACCTCTGGTTTCACTGTGTCTTCCAGGTATCTCTGCCACTGCGTTTATACATTTACTCCATTCATTAATTTCTACATCTTTCCTAGTTGTGAGTAGTTTCTCTAGGATAGGTTAAAGCCTGTGTCCTTTTTATCTCTTCAGTGCTGTTCTTGGACACACTGGGTTTGTCTCACTGGCAGGGCATCCAGAAAGATAAATGATCACAGATGTCTGATAGATTCAGCACTGTGGAGGGAGGAGGATCAAGACACTGGGAGATTAGGTGCACAAGAAGGATAGTTAAAATTGTTGTAATGGGTGAGAGTTTTGGAGGCAGGAAGTGCAGTATAAGAGTCTCGAAAAGGTTCACAGGTGGAATCATGGGGAAAGCTTTTATTTATAGCAAAGAAGAAAAATCCTTTAGGAAAACAGAGGAGTCAACCTCAGAGAAAGATGGCAGAGTAGCATGTTCATTTATTGTCCCAGAAGTACTCAGAGAATAGTCATCTCAGTCATGTGTAGGCACGCAGTGATTTTCTGTAGATATTCTGAGTCACTTCTCTGCAGTAGAAGTGTACAATCTATGCAGAAGTAGTGATGTAACACTAAGAAGATAAAAGCAACAGCTAGATGTGTTGTGTTTTTCCTTGACTCAGCATTTATTAAACACTTAATCACAATTTTTAGATCAGGATATATAGAGATGCTTTTGTAAATAGCTCTGATACAAGTTTCAATATGATAAAATTGTCATACTCCTGTCTGTATCACTTAGAAAGGTTGCTTGACCACAGATGCAGGTACATCTTGGCCTGGCAGCTGTGTCCCCACCATGGAGAGCAGGCTGGTAAAAGCGCAGTGCCTTTAGGCCCTTGACTCCTGCAGCTACTATCCATTGTTCTCATTTGGTACCAACACAGCAGACTGGAGAACTTGGCTTCCTTGTAGGAAACAGAAAATGTACAAAGCAGGTTGGTAGTACTGTTTAATCTACCAAATAATTTTGTTTCTTATTATGACTTAGTAATTGGTAATCAGATTTCATATATCTGATTCTGTAAGTCTCATAATGTACTTGAACCATTGCTGCATCTGATTGACTTTGGAACACTGACCACACTGAGTGTCTGCATTGTTGGGCACAGAGCCAGACTGGTGTGTTCACTTGGGTGCTGCTATGGGCAGCAGCCAGTGTCAGAGTCCACCTCACGTACTTGAGTGCCAGCCATTCTCATTGCCCCCTTCCAAATTTTGAAAATGGCTTTGGGGTTATAAATTCAGATAAGACATAACATTTCCTTATCAGCAGGGTTCAAATGGGTTCGAATATAGTGAGTGTAGCCAAAGATTTTCTCAGTGCTATGAAACTAGAGTTGTCATTTCTGCTTTCTAAACAGTATGTTATAAAGATGGGATGGAAATGTTTGAGTAGAAACAGCAAAATCTTAAGTGGTTATGAACTCTAGATCAGCACTTTATACCTAATGCTCTTTTTTAACATTGAGACTTGGACTTGCATTTGACCTTTTAAGCAATCTGAGAAAAATCGAATCATCAGATAGGAAGTGTGTATCTTTGAATTCAGTTGCTTCATCAGCTGGTGGGTGGTGGTGGTACTAACTGTCCTCTGGGGTCTGAGGCACTGGATGGTCCCAGAGGTGTACATGTCAGCCATAGGTATTTTCAACAAGGGAGTTCTTATGAGTGCCATGCTGTTGCACATCACCAACACAGTTTCTCTCTCTGTCCACCTATATTAGTTTACTGTGGCTGCTATAACAAATTATCACACATAGAGTGACCTAAAACAAAATACATGTATTCTCTTGAAGTTCCAGAGTGCAAAAAGTCCAAGAATGAGTCTACTGGGCTAACATCAGGTGTTAGCAGAGCTGCATGACTTTCTGGAGGCATTGAAAGAGACTCTCTTTCCTTTTCCAGTTTCTAGGGGTAGCTCCAGGCTACCTTCCATCCTCACAAATAGTAGTCACATCCCTCCAACTCTGCTTCCATCTTCATCACCCTTGACTTTCACTTTCCTGCCTCTCTTTCTGTCACTTAAAGGACCCTGGAGATTATGTTGGGTCCATCTGGATAACGTATAATCATCTCCATATCATAAGAACCTTAACTGTATCTTCAATCTCTTTTACTATGTAAAGTAATACATTTACAGGTTCCCTGCAATAAGATACAGACATTTTTGTGCGGAGAGTGTGTGGGTAGGGAGTCATTCTGCCTGTGGTCCTGCCCAGTGTTCCTTACAGTCCTCTTCTGCCTGGTCCACCCATCTTTCCCAGCCTAGTGATGTATAGCTTTTCTTTCTCTCTCCCTCCACTTTCTTCACCTTCTACCCCTTTTCTCTAAAGTTCTAACTCAGGATTGTGTCTTATTTGTCTTTGTGGCCCAGGGTCTAGGACTGACTTTGGTACATAGAGAATCTTAACAGATGTTTGCTAAATACACATGTGGTAAACTGCAGTGGTTGCAGTGAGGTTCTGGCCAGCATTAGTGTGGCTCCACCAGCATGGAGGGACATTGGGAATGTGGGTGCCAGAGTGTAGGGTGGCAGCCAGGAGGGGAAGGAGCTGTGCTTTGCAGTCAGGCCTTCTGGCTTGGTTCATAGCATGAATGTTAACTGTGACCTCAGGTAAGTTTTATAACCTCAATTTCCTCATCTTGAAAGGTAGGATAACAAATCCCACATAGGAGGCTCTGAGAAGTTATATGCTATTCAGAGAATAGTTGGAACAAAGTATTACTCTGTAGTTTGTAGCATATCACTAAGCAAAAGTGAAGCTGTCTGCTATACTCTAAACTGGGAATAAGATACTATCATGAGTAAGAATTCTACTTCTGAGGGAAGAAATAGAGCTATAAAAGAAAGTTGGACATAAAATCATTTTTTAAAAAGCTGTCCCCCTACCCCTTCAGTCACATCTGGTAGAACCTTAAAAAAGGGGGATATGTTTTCCTTTTTTTTTGCAGATGATTTGGTTTAGATACAGAAACAAAACCTATGACTTCTGGGTTCCAGTCATCTTTCTAAAGCTTTTGCCACCTTGAGTTGAGAAAGTTGTCTTAGTTATAATTCTCATTGCTGAGACAAAATAACCCAACACTCAAAGTTAAAAGAGGAAAGGTTTATTTAGCTCACAGTTTATAGAGGTTTCAGTCCATAATCTGCTAACTGCATGGCAGGGTGGCACATGGCAGAGGGGTAACCATTCATGGTGGCAGAAGACAGCAAAAGCAGCAAGAGAAGTGGAAGACAGGCATCTTTTTATCCCTGTTGTTGTATCCATTCTTCCAGAATTAGGGTAGTGTCAATCCAATCAGTAGAGTGATCCAACAATCACACACCCTTAATCCCAGCATTCTTACTGTCAGCATCACACATTTTCGATCCAGCCCCCTGAGAAAGTCCTATGACCACATGAGGCTTTGAGAGGACATATAGACACAAACTGTAACACAAGTAATTTACTCTTTGGAGAACCACATCTATAAAGATCCAAATATTTAAGATAGTTTTAAAAATACATGAGGCATTGTTCTGGAACTGTAGCAGTTAATTGTCTTGGGGACATCTCAGGTATACCCACTGCTGTACCAGAAGCAGAAGCTTAGTACTAAGTGGTTCAGGACTTAACCAGCTACCTCCATCCTAATGAGGTCTGAGCTCCTCTGATGATAGTGTCACATATAATTTCCCACATTGTGGTGGGCTGTTTATCTTCAGGATGTAAATAAATGTAACCTGGGATTGTGGTTCTGCATTGTTTCCATCCAATAATGTTTAGCCTGTGGTTCTGGAAGAGAGATCTGAGAGAAACACTTCCCTGTAAGAAGCAGTTCCTTGAAAGATTGGCAGCAGTATGTCTGGGAGTGAAGCTTTAAGACTCTTACACTTAAGGGGTTACAGAAGCAGAGCATTATGAGAGTTTTAGATTAAGAAACTTTTTTGTTTGACCTTCCCCTTTTTCATTTATTTTTCCTTCATGTTGTTACCTCTCATAATATACCTTAGAAGTGAAGCCAGTATTTCTATGGAAATATTTCTTCAGCGTATTTCTAATTCAGATCAGTAGGCCTCCCACATAGTGAAATCCAAAGGCTAGACCAAATTTAGAAACTACCAACTTACAAAGAAGTATGTTTTGAATGTGAGAGTAACTGTGGGAGAGAAACGGTGTTTCTGATCCAGGTTCTGAATATCATTTCCATGTAGTACTGATGATGAAAAAGAAATTTATAGGATAGTTTTAAAATGCTGGAATGAACAGAAGAGAGAGACAAAAGAGAGCTAGGAATCATGTATCAAGTAGCTATAAGATAATGTGATTTTGTAATTTCCATATATGCACATATAGCAACTATTTTCATGTTGGAATCGATATTCAGTAAGTACATAGATAAGACTGAATTCTAGTCAGTGTATGACCATTTAGAAGTGGGTAGTAAATTATAAGCCCTTCAAGAGACTTAAAAAGTTTAATTTAAGTAATGAGCAGACTTAGACTATTATCCTATACACTAGGTACTTTGTAGAAAAATGTGTTAGATTCTTCTTTTTCCAATAATGTTATACATAACAAGAAAGCACCATTTTTATCACATTACAAAGGAGATTGGCTTCTTGTTATGGTAGATTAAACACCAGCAGGTCAGTTTTATGGCTTTGAAACATTTGTGGGCAGGAGATGTTGACATACGATGACCACTGTGGAGGTCAGGTTGGCTGTGCCTTGATTCTGGTAATGACACTGCTGGTGAGGAGGGGTCAGCATAGAGAGAAACTTGTAGTGGAAGCTCAAGCTCAGGCGCTTGAGCTCTGAAAGTAGCTTGATTGAGCCCAGATGGAGTTTGTAGAGTTCTCAATCTCTCATGAGTTATCACCTGGGAGAACAGTTGGAGTAAACTCATCCTGTGCTGGTGATTGACCCCTAGGTGACACCCTCCCTCCAGTTTCCTGGAATTAGCCCTAAAATGGAAATGACTCCAAAGTCCTTACAGGCTCAGTACATGTTCTCAGGGTTCCAATGCCTGAGGAGGAGAAGCCTGAGGCTGGGAGTTCTGAGAGGGAAGTTGCAAGAGCACAAATTATAGTTTGGGCAATTTGGCCCCACACCAATGGTTATAACCTAGGTGGCAGGCTGCTCAGCTCCAGGGAGGAATTCAAAGAAGCTGCTTCCTTCCGAGGTCATGTAGAGTTCCAATGCACATGTCTGATTGGCTGGCTCTTAGGAAGACTGCATTTGCATGTAGGTGTGGGTTCACATCATAGTTTGCCTCCACGAGGATTGCTCAGGGTCTGGGGAAAAGACAAACGTTATTTTAGCTGACCCTTACGGTGGTGTACATCTCTATTCATTTAAACAATAGCTTAACCATGTCTTGAAGGAAAAAAGTAAATTTGTCATAGCTAATGAAAAAGGTAAAGTTGAAAGGAATGTGAATTAATGGGTGTATAGACCATGTCTGCAGTACTGGCATTTGACTGAGCTATTTTGAGATGTGCTGCTGATTCATACCACCATTCATAGAACCAGTGTCACTACATACGTTGTTCTTGGAAGTGTGCAAAGCAGCCATTAATTACTTCAGCTGAATGTCTCCCAAGACCTACTCTTTTGTTTTCCATTATAAACTGAGCTCTTCAGAGCAAAATATTTCCTGTTAAGTTAAAAAACAAATACACTCTGTTACAGGGTTACTTGTATGTGTAAAGGAATTCAAATGTATTGGTGTACATAAGCAGTATTCAAACAGCCAGTGTTCAGTGTAATGAAATAAGCACTGAATATAGGTACTGTACTAAGAAAATGTGGCTGGAGCACAAAGAAAATAGCAATTAATTCAGACCAGAGGGTCTGAAAAGATAGGCCAGGAACCTTCCTAAACCAGCTCCAGGTGGGTTCCCCTGTGGGTACTATATCTGCCCTGAGGCCCCTCACACACCTCTTCCCTCACCAAGTTGATGCTCCTGGAGCCAAAGATAGGATCTTAGTTACCTCATGTCCACAACCCCTCACACAGTGAAGTACGATAATTAAATGAAATGAAGACAGCGTTTAAACTGGGGTTAGAAGAAGTGTGTTAAAGCCAAGAAATTGACAAAGTCAGAGGCTAAGTCACAGAAGGAAAGGGTGGTCACACAGTGTGGTATAGGGAGCAGACAGACACTGCAGACTAGGTGCTGCTGGTCTAGAACCTTAGAGAGAACATCTAATGTGTAATGCTAGCCTGCTACCCATGGTGTCACCTGTATCAGACCCTTCGATTTATTGTTGACTACACAAACATTTAAGAAACCTCCTTGCAGTGGAATATGATTTTGGGTGAGCCTTAGCGAGTCCACAGTCCAAGGCTGTAAGTAGGATCAGCAGTGATAGTAATAGCTACAAGGTTCTGTAGCAGACAGAGAATAGTGAAGAGCAAGATACATCAGAGAAGGCTACTTCGAGGTAGTAGGCCCAGCTGCAGTCTTGAAAGATGGGTAGACATATGTTGACTAAATACATTGTGATGCTTTGTACAGAACAGAATAGAACACAACAGGACAGAACAGTATGGTGGGATCTCTGCTAAAAAATGTGATAAGTGACAGACTGAAAGAGGATAGTCAACATTTATATTGCATATTAATTATTTGTGCATTTAAATTATTTTATATTACATTTTTATAAACCGTATAATTCGAATAGTAACAAAAACGGAAGAAGTAAAAACATAAGTAGTGAATAGTTTACACATTTCTATCTATAGATGTAAAGCCTTTGTAAACATTAAACTTTAGCATTTATGTTATCTGTTTGTGTGTGTTTAATGTGTTATCCAGCCAGATATCCCCGTAGCAATAAAATGTTTAGAAAACTAAAACATTAAAGTTCCTTGTTGGATTTATTTTAAGGAAACGGAGTGACTCTATACTTTAGGTTGGGTTTCTCCACAAAGAGGCTGTACAACAAAGTTTTGAGTAGAAATAATTTATTTGAGGCGATGACTCAGGGAGTCTCTGTTAGGGATGGGCAACTGAGACAGGGAAGGGAAGGAAGCCAACAAAGGGTCTGTGTACGAGCAGGTTGCTGCTGTGGCCACCTGGGCACCACCTGAGTACCTCTGGGAACCAGTGTACAACTGGTCTCAGAGTAGTGCTCAGTCAAGAGTCCTTTGCTGAGCTGGAGTCTAAAGCACAGAGTAAACCAAAAAGGTAAAAGCAGGGCTTGAAAACCCCAACTTCCACCCATATCTCTGTCTCCTATCAACCTGGTCCTTAATTCCAATTCTCACTCATCCCGTTCTCCTAGGAATCACCGGGACTTAAGGGAGCTTAGTTTGAAAGGTATTATTTCACATCAACCAAGGTTTGAAGGTCCCCAGTCAGTACCTGTGGGTATGGATGTATTATTGAAGTCTCTTACCCAGCTTTCTCCTTGACAAAAAAATGGTAGGCATGGCTGATCATTTTACATCCAGGAAAACTGAGAGTGAATTGCACTGGTCTTGGTCAGAAGTTTGCATTATAAGGACAGCTGTTGCAGCTGCTACAACAGGACTCTAGAACACCATGAAGAACTTCTTTCATTATAATTAAAATTGTTTACGTTAACTCTCAGCCAGTTTCATGTCACTACTAGTAATTACAGAAACATTAGAGGAAGTAGTACGTGTCTTGTGCAATGGATATGAATACTTCTGTCCCATGTTTTTCTTCTCAGGTTTCTAATATTCAGGCGAGAGCAGTTGTGTTGTCCTGGGCTCCCCCTGTTGGACTTTCATGTGGACCCCACAGTGGTCTTTCTTTCCCCTACAGTTATGAGGTTGCTTTATCAGACAAAGGCCGAGATGGAAAATACAAGATAATTTACAGGTAGTGTATATTTCCATGTGTTTTGTTTTATTATTTTAATTTAATTTTATTTTATATGGGAGTTTGGTTTTATTTTGTTTTGTTTTTTGAGGCGGTCTCACTATGTAGTTTGGGGTGCTTCAACCTCATGATGATCCTCCTGCCTCAGCTTTCTGAGTGCTGGAGTTACAGGTATGTGCCACCAGGCTGTTTCCACATGTTTTAATTTGCTGCTAAACTGTGACATTGGAGTTGTTAAAGAAAATAGAAAACAGAGGAAGAATGTATAAGTTTTGCAAATTTTCCTTGAAATAGGTCTTTTTAAAAATTAGTAATAACTATAGTGTCAAGAATTAAATTTTGTCCAATTAATTATTAATCAGAAATGAGTAGTATATGGAGCCATTGGCATCAATGAAATAAATTGCTTGTTATGTTAGTTATCAGGATAGTATTAAATTTTCCATTTATATCTATCAGGGCAGCAGTGACTGACTTGTAGTTTTGTATACATTAAATAGTCATGGGATCGCTTACATTTTAGACTCAGCCCTTTATCTTGGGTTGTTTTAAAAAATTCTCCAATTACCATTTGCTTTTTTTCACCCTCTTTCACACTCTATATTAGGTTAAAGATACTTTAAAACATTTCATTACATGGCTTTCCTAAGTGGTCAGAAGTTTAGCAACAGAATAAGGAATTAGCTTTTTCTGTTTTATGGACTCCCACATAAGAACTGTCCAAATGATTTATAGCCATGTTCTAAATGTGATAAAAATTTTAGGGTCAATTCCTTTCTCCTTCATAATTGCTTAGCACTGGTCACATTTACAGAGCAGGAAATCAGAAAGCCAGTTTTGTTTTAACTATTTGTTTGACTTCCCTGTGAGCAGGCCCTAGACAGCCTGCCCACACCAGGGTAATGTGGTCACACAAAGTCCACTTCTTTCTCTGCCAGAGGTTTTTGTTTTCTCCCTCTTCCCCCTGCCACATCAGTGCTTCAGACTGTGTCTCCCCCTTCCTGTCCTCCTTGGTAACTTGCTGCCCTGATGGATTTTCCTGGGAACAGACAAGGGGAAGTAGGTAAGGAAGGAGCCAGTCTAGTTGCTGTCTTCTCCTCTTGCTTCCCGTGCTGCTGGTACTCTTTGCTGGACTCCTGTAGTGTCCCTTAGGTCGTGCAGCGTCTACTGCCACCCCAACAACCCAGCCTCGGTGCTGCAGAACCATGCCAGAGCATGTCACTGCCCTGCAGAGAGCACTCTGTGCATTCCCCACTGTTCTTTGAATAAAGTCCTAGCTCCGTATTCACACTCACAACTAATTTGGTTCTATTTTGAAAAAAATCAGAAATATAGAGAGCTGTTTCCCCTACTTTACTAAGAAGCAGAACATCTGGGCTCCAGTGATCCTTTTGCCTCATCCTCCCCAGTAGCTGGGACTAGAAGCCCAAGCCTGGCTTGGTAAGAGTCCATTAATGCAAGATGAACACTGCTGGCAGGAGCTAGAGTCTCAAGTGCCTTCTACAGATAGGTAGATGACATAAATGAGAAAAGTTCTATTTGAAGATGGGAAACAAGAGTTCCTATCTCTATGTGAAGAGAGCACTTGCTGTTTATCCTCAGTCATTGCCTGGATTTGCTGAAAACTCCCGTTGCCTGGGGTTTTTCCAAGGGGTGCTGAAAATGTGAACTATTAACTTTCCCATATTGAACTAATTCAGCAAATGCAAAGTATTTTAAAGGTACAGTGCAGTGAAACAGCAGAACTGTAGTCATAGTACACATGTAGCTTCAGTTTACAATTTTAAAAAAACTTTTATTTGGAAGAACTATAAACTTATATAAAATATTGTACAAATAGATCACAGCATATAGGTGTACTCTATCCAGATTCCATTACTGACTTTATCTTGTTTGCTTTCCCACTAGAACTCTTCCCTCTTTCTTTTTTGTCTGCTACTCATCATTTTTTCTCCATGTTTTATACACCACAGTCATTTGCTACTAAACATTTCAGTATATTTCCTCAGAATAAGGGTATTTTCTTAATCACAGTGCAATTATGAACTTCATAAAAATGCATTGATACAGTGCTTTTATCCATCATCCATATTCCACTTTGTCAAGTGATCTGAATAATATTTGACATTTTGAAAAATATTGTGATAGCATTTTTCTTCCCTTTAGGAAGAATCCAGTCTGTGATCATATATTGCATTTAGCTATCTTGTTAGCCTTCTTTAATTTAGAGCATTTCCATGGTATTTCTTTATTCTTTATGACACTGACAGTTTGGAAGAATACAAAATGAGTCATACCCATATCTAACTTTCTGCTTCTGACTTTCTGCTTCTGTTTTACTGTACTTTTTGAAAACATTTTAATGAAAATTTCTTACTTCATATTTCACTGTAAGTTGAGATTCATTTGCACCTTTGGGTCATAGAAGTAGTTTTATTTTATATCCAAGAGCTACTCTTGGATGCATTTGTATGTCAGCGAAGGAGATCAGATCTTGTTAAGAGAGTCCAGAATGGAGGGGTGGAGGTTCCTGCCACAGTAGGTCTGAAAACTGGCTTTGCCGGACAACTAGTGCAGTTATTACGTATTTCCTAACCACTTACTCTTGTGTATTACTTTCAAGTAGCAAGAAGATGTTATGGGATGTTAAGTGAACTGTGTTGTTTCCCAGATCCAGAATGGTATGATTACAAGGAATCTGATTTTTCTAGTCAATAATAATAATAATTAAGAAAGTATATTTCTGATTTATGGTAGAATCACTCATAGTAGTTCTTGTGTTGTCAGTACACAACTATGAGACTGAAATGCAAAATCTGTTTTACAGTTGAAACTGGTATTAACTAACAAATGATTTTTCTTTACAGTGGTGAAGAATTAGAATGTAACCTGAAAGATCTTAGACCAGCAACTGATTATCATGTGAGGTGAGTTAAGACACGAGAGCTGAACAGTATTGGAGAGTCCAGGTTGCTAAAGTAAATCATTTGTCCCATTTCATGAGCTTTTGGTGAATGACACTTTCTTAGTTGATAGCTTTCAGCCCATGGTGCAGTGGCCATTCATTTACATTCTGCACTCCGCAGCATAATGACTGGGAGGACACAGATGTGCATCTACGGAAAGAAAAGTTGGTGATGCACTGGGCAAATTTTTAACATTATTTTTTTATTTTACCCAAGCTCTTATAAGAACAATTGGACTGTGTAGTTTAACATACTTTTCTTTCTATAGGAGTAATTTATTTTTTACCATGGATGTATGAGTTGTTTACTTTATATAGATGGTACCGATGAATTATCTTCAGACTAACTGAAGAAGCAAGAGCATTTTTGGACCTTTAAAAGCCAGTAGCATTTGAAGTAGGCAGGGAATACAGAGATCATATTACCTCTGAAAAGAATTTACCCAGTTTGACAAAACCACCCGTATAGGCTGAAATCTCAACTGTGATTTTTCTGGAGTCCTTGCTGTAGCTGCTCAGGAAGGCAGTGCTAGATTATCTTAGCAAGAAACCTAACCACGCACAGATCTGTGAAGAGGGATTATCTGATTTTCTACAGGCCACATCTGGTCATTTAATAGTATTTATTTCCATTCATTTGCAAATGAGCAGATTTCTAAATGCAGCCCATAACATTTTAAAACCTTTATGTAAAATTTTTAAATTCATCAGAAAATATAATTTTGTCTAATTACACACATGATTTTGTATGTGTACATAAGATTGTGTAATAAAATTACAATTTTAAGAACACTTACCTGCTTTCCAGGGATAATTCATTCCCTCACAATGGAGTGGGACAAAGCCTAGAAGAACCATATGCTAATTATCAGGAGGCTTGAATTCTTGTTTGCTTCTGTCATAAATTGGCTATTTAAACTTTAAGTTATGTAGAAGTTTTATACCACAGTTTTCTCATTAGGAAAAGTAAGGAAACGGGTGAGTTGAGGTTGTAGTATCTTACTAGCTGTGTAAGTGTTTTAAAACTAATTGTGGAGAAATATATAAAAGAACAAGTTGTTTTATATTGTAAAACAGTGCACATCTGCTTAGCTGTTGTATTGTTTAGATGAACGCTATTGCAACCATCTCTTCTGTTTAAATCAAAACTTTAGGATTTTGAGTCAGGTAGCATCTGTCCAAACATTGAATTCCATACAATCTGTATAAACAAAATGATTTTTGCTCGTGAAGAAAAAGATGATGACAGAAATATCATCTTTAAAAATGGTCAGTTTAACAACAAACCAGAAACACCATATAAGGAGTCATATAAATGTTATTCATTATTCATTGTTAGCATATGTTTCTTTCTTCTCCATGTTTTAACATTTGTTGTTACTGCTTTACTAAGGGTTTATTTTATTAATTTCCTATTCATTCATGAACTTACAATACCCTTTCAAGAAACTTAGATGTCATAAAGGCGTCTACCCTTTTATTTTCCACTGTCTTTTGTTTCCTGTGGTTTCTTTTCACCCATCTTATAAAGAATAAGTTTTGAGAAAATTCGATTGTAAGTACTTTTTAATGTTATGTCCTATGAACATCTTGAAAGGTGTTCTGCCAGATAAAAGGATCTTGAATAGATTCTCCAAAAAGAATAGAAGCATGAAGTGGTCACTATCTAGAGGTCCTAAATCTAGACTTTCTCCTGACATATGGGCCTCTATGGATGTGACATATGTTATGTATGTGATCGCACACATAAGATACAGCGTACAGTATAAAGCATGTATATTATTTGGTCTAACTCTGCCTGCCAGAGAAGTAGAAATTTTTTTCACTCCTGGATGACGGTCTACTTCAGTATTTTTTTAAAAAAATTCTTCTGATAAAAATGTCTATAGTTCAGATTTCCCTCTTTTTTGCCATAGTACGCAGTTCATACAGATTGCTCATTCTTTTCCCTTTACAGTTTTTTCTTTTTCAAGCTGTACAAGAATCTTAACATTTCCTACTCTTAGGTTTAGCTTTCTCTGCTGTGAATTGCTTAGGTGAAGCAGCCTGATGCATCATGGCCAAAGCCTGAAACTTGGATTTAATGGTTGTGTCTCAACCAAGGGTTTGTGCTTAACAAGCCACTGGCACTTCTTTGGCCTTGTTTCCAAGTGTGCAAAGTAGGGCTAATAATGACACCCACCTCAGAAGGGGTGTGACTGCAAGTGAAATATGTGCACAAACTGTTGTAAACCTGGAAAGGACTGTATAAATATTATTTTTATTTTGTTTTTCCAAGACTATTGCAGTTTTTTCACTCTGTGAAAGTTAAAGGGACTTAATGTTGCAACTTCTTTGAACTTGTATTTATTTTTGACTCTTATCATTCACTTTTAATGAGATGTTTATATATCATACTAGGCATGGAACAAAAAGGAGCAAACTCTCCCTTTTAGGATGCAGTTAACATTCTCAAAGTCTTGATTTCAGGAAAGTAAGTTTTTATCACAAAAATGTAGCCTCAACTATCATTTAAAATTAATATTCACCCATAAGGCCTCAGAAGACTGTATGGAATACCTTCTTCACTAAATTTCCATAACAACAGCTACAAAAATAATTTCATGAGTGGACAACTGCAAAATGAGCAATTTAAGCATTGTCATTTTTATTTATTTGTGAAAGTATCATCCTTGGGGAAGTCTGTAGAGCCAGTGAAGAAAACTGAAATATTTTCTTTAACAGCACAAAATAGGCTATCTCCTTCCAGTTGTTAGTATAGCATATTTTGTTTAAGACCTATAAAAGTCTCTGTTCAAAAGGTTTCTTTCTTTAATTAGGTACTGAAGTTTCACCATGGTTTCTACTCTTGAAATTATTGTTATTTTTTATTTTGCTACCCAATTTTGTTCTATTTACACTTGAATATCTGATATTTTCATATAATGCTTTTTCTTATTTTTCAACCTCAACCCTAACATGTTAGGAATATAGGAATTCATCAAACAGATTACCAAAAAAAATTTTTTTTAAAGTGGCAGAAATCTTATTATTAAACTGCTTGGTGCTTGGCTGACTCTCCTGGCAGTAACAGCTCTTGACTTCTTTACTGCGGGAATTTGCTTGGACCAGTAGGCTCTAGGTCATGTGCCTCTAGCTCTTTTTTTCAACTGGCATCTGCCATGCCAGTTAATCCAAATTCCCCATGTAATATTACGTCCTAAGGCGTTACAGATTTTCAAAAATGTTTCTTCTTTCTCACTTTGTGCTCTGAATTTCTCTTTGCCATTGCTGCATGTCTATTCCACTTAAATGTTTTTCATGATTGAGGAAAATGGTACCCTTCTATAATATATACACTGATTTGCAAGTTTTAGGTGTTGGGTCTTGGCTTAGTTGTTTTTTTTTTAATTGTCCTTTTTTTAAATTTATGATGCAGTTCTTATCCAAGTTGTCTGTTTTTGTTAAGTGTTGATTCAGTATTAAAAGAATCAATTTATAATTGTCAGTGGCATTGTGGTATATATTATATAAAGCTACTAATATAAAAAAATGTGTCTTTGTGTTTGAGAGAGGATGAAAAGGGGGGAATGGAGAGATGATTTGTTGGAGAAAAGGGAGAATTTAGACTAATATAAATAATCTTTTTAATGCTTATACTTTTTTTATATTTTTTTAATGCTTATACATAAACATGAAGGTTTATATATATTACATATACACAAATATATGTTGTCTATACATTTCTTAGAAAAGTATGTTTCTGTTTTAATTTGTTTTATAATTAACAATGGTACTGAAATAACCGTTTTACTGTGTGAATCAAGAATTTAAATTTTTATCAATAATACAATAATTAGGCATTTGATGAAGTGAATAGCAATTTCATGACAAAGTTTGCAGCAGTTTTCTAGTCGTCACCATAAGCAGTTTGTCAAAGATGTTGCCCAGAGATGATATCATACAATGACCTTCCCCAGAAAAATTATATGATGAAATATTTCCAAAAATAGCATTTACCATCACAGTACAAGTTTATGAAATAGGTGTTCTTGGCCAGAAAATATGGTGCCTCATATTTTACAGATGCATGGGAAGAACTCAGAGGTGTATTTCTGAACTCTTGGAACACGTGTTTCATTATCGTTCACTTTTTAAATGAAAACAAATGTGAAAACCCAAAACAAAATTGATTATGCCATATTGTTAGAAAAAGTGTTTTCTTTTCCTAGGATAAATGCAAAAGAAACTTACCAGTTTCTTGATTTATTTAGTCCAAGAGACTGATCCTACCCTACAGACCCTCCATTACATCATGTGAAAAAAATGCAGTATTTAAAGTATATCAGAAACCACTTTGAAGATATCAGTATATAATACAACAAGCATTGTTAATTTCCTACCACTTTGTTTGTAACTCTGTATTGTCTGTACTGCTCTTTTGCTATTTTGTAAAAGGTTGTCTGTCTGTTAATATTTTCTTCCTTTTATTTTTAAAATAAAAAAAAATAAAGTATATCAGAAGGGACTGAGGATTTAGCTCAGCAGCACAGCGCCTGCCTGGCAAGCGCAAGGTCATGAGTTCGATTCCCGGTACTGGAAAAAAACCAAAAAAATGAAAAGTATATTACAGAATTGATTTTTTTTTTTTTTTTTGGTTAAATTTAATGGTCAAATTGCAACTCTTTAAAATTAACTGCTGTTTACTAGCAGAGATAATCATGGTATTTTTAGATATTGTGTCAAATTTTACTGGATACAGCACATTTATATTGCCATACATATAAAAATAAATTTTGTTTTCCTTGTTGACAAACTTTTATGTGTGAAAAGTTCTGACCCCTAGTTGAAACAAGCAATAACACTTTTTTTCCTTTTTGTGTGTCATGTCTATGCTGGAGACTGAACGCAGGACCGCATGTGTCCTAAGCACACACTGTACCACTAATCTACATCCACACAAACTTTAATTTTTTAGAGTCAACAACAAGGAAAATGTCTTCATCTGGCCCATATAACTATCTCAGGTTTTCTTCTGCCTTCAGTTTCTTTTTGTTTTATCTTTATTGCCATCCTCCTAGCCTGACAGTCAGATACCTCCGTTCATTCATGATTCTCTAGCCTATGAAGTATAGATTTTGGACTTCAAGAATCCTGTTAAAAAAGAACAGAGAATTTGACTGATTCCAAATTTCCTTCCCTCCTAGACGACTAAACGTGGTCTGAAAGTACCTTGGAAGCTGTTGTCTGTTCTTTCATCCAGATGCATGTTTGGGTTCCACCCATTTCTGTGAACGTTCAACACCTAGTCTGCTGACGTAGTTGTACATTTGCAGGAAAATGCCCTGTGTGTGCAGTTGGGAGAACTGCTGGCTTGAGACAGGGAACCTAAGTGGGCAAAGTTGGTAAAGCCAGCTGAAATGCAGTCCGAGTTCTGAGGAGGAGAAAATAGGGTGTGGAGGGGGGAGCTGCTTCTCAGCTTTACCTTATAACTATAATGGAGAAAAAGGGTCAAGTGTTACTGAAACGTTTCAACTTTTAAAAGAAACCAGAGATTTTTTTTTTTCTAATGAATGATTTCAAGATATTTTTCAGTATAGGCTTAATTTGTACTTTAATTTTTTTTTATTTCGGATACCCTCAAAAGTAGATAGTAGTTTCATGAAATCTTGTCTACCCATCACTCAACTTGTCTTACCTCGGTATCCTCATCTAGTGCCCTTCTGCTCATTTTGAAATTCAGATACTTTATTATCTCAGGTATAAATCACCTTGCCATTAGCACATTCCCACCCTAAACAAACAAAAAATAGTAATTCTTTAATATCTCCAGATTTAGAGACTGTCTCTTCCTCAATTGTCCTAAAAAATAATTTAGTTTAGTTTTGTTTTTTGTAATGAGAATTCAAACACGGTCTGAATACACAACTTAGTTGGTATGGCTTGAATTTCTTTTAATGCACAGTGTTTTCTCTCCATCTTTCTTTTTCTCCAGACTATTTGTTGTACTGATTTTTTTGTGTAGTTTTCCACAGATGTCACTTTGGCTGATGGGTCCTTTATTGTGTTGCTTAATAAGTTCCCCTGTCCTCTGTGCCTCCTGGAAAATGGTGAAGAGACTTAATTCGATCTAGATTCGGTTTTTCTGACAGGACAGTGTTATATAGGTGATGCCATACTCCGGTTGCTTCTTTCTGTGATGGTCATTCCCTATATTCTAGAATTCATAGGTGGCTCTACTGGTTAAAGAGAATACTTTTTCTCCCCCAACACTCGTGTATCCCAGCCCAGATGCCACCAGTTGGAGAGTGCTGATCTACTGAAGATCAGGCTGAAATCCTGCCCATGTTTGGAGCATTCTGTGATTCATTTTAAGTAGCTACCAATGGTGAGCCCTCCTGACACATGGAAATGAGCTTGCCAGATCTACCACTGGGCTTTATATTATCATGCCTTGTTATCCTGAGTACAAAAAGGAGCATTTCCCACATCAGAAGTTGAGTGGAGAGCATTCTAACAATAAAGTATTATTTGTTTGCATCCAATGTTATGGTATCCTTCTATAAGGCAACTAAGTTGCCCCAGCTTTCTAGCTGTATGCCTGTTGGAAGTTTACCTCTCAGTCTAAATTCCCTTCAGTATGCAAAGGGTGATATTTCCCTACCTCATAGAGAGCATGGTTGTAAGAGTTAAAGGTCTGATAATGTATTTACCAATTTTGAATAGTTTAATTAGTGCATCTTTTTTTTAGATAGCAAAGCCTTCCTTGTTGTCCTTTTAGAAGAGTGTTTTAATTTTTATATTATTATATTATAAAAGCACATTACACATTTCTTTCCTCACAGCCTCTCTGGAAAAATCAGACACATGTATGGAATGTTGAGGCAAGTGTTTTAAAGTGCAGAATGGACATCTTTAGTCTTGGCACCTTATGTATAAGTTAAATGTTCACATGGATAAACTGTACCTGAATAGTTTCTGTTGAATCAGAGACAGACAAACTTAGCAGCACACTTTTGCCTAAATATGTACAGTGTTCTTAGTAGCCAGAAGTGATATTTACCCTCTGTTCTTTTGTACTGTTTGACCAGCTATAGACTGTGATCACCATATTTTACTCCTTCTCACCCAACTATTAACTCTACTTTTCACCTTTTTGAACAAAGTTAACTATGAAGTAGCTTGTGTTTTTTGTGGTTTTGTCTTTTGTCTTTTTTGAGACAGGGTTTCACTATGTAATTCAGGCTGGCTTTGAACTGACAGTGATCCTCCTGCCTCAGCCTCCCAAGTCTGGGGATTGCAGGTGTGCGCCACCACACCCAGCCTAGTAGCTGGTATTTGGAGAGCATTTTGGTTTAGGGTTATATTTTTAGAGTATTCCTTTCCATCCAGTAGGCACCATCTATCTTAGGGTGTGGCTAAGTGGAGCACATGGAGGTAAATGCCCTGTCAGGATGATTGTCCCCTGTAATTTCTGACTACGGCTAGATGAGACAAGGTCAGCAGGTGAGAGTGGAGAGTCATATTCCATGTGTAAGAAATTCTCTTCATCTATGGAAAGCCCAATACAAAGTAAAGTTAAGAAACCTGACCTTCTGTATTTAGCCACTGCCACTGACCGCATCTCTGTGTTTTGTTTTCAGGGTATATGCCATGTACAATTCTGTAAAGGGATCGTGCTCCGAGCCAGTTAGCTTCACCACCCACAGCTGTGCACCTGAGAGTCCTTTCCCTCCTAAGCTGGCACACAGAAGCAAAAGTTCACTAACCTTGCAGTGGAAGGTGGGTAACTCAAAGTATCAAGAATACTCTCAAGTTAATATCAATGTCAGTCTGTGGCTACTGGAAATACCTGTTTAGCACTATTTCCTTTTTGTGATAGTGTTTGGATTTCTACATAGTAACTGAAATTATAATGATATCAAAAGTTGCCATATCCTTAGAAATTGGACAAAGCAATGGGAGGAGGGACCTGCAAAAACCCAGCTTTAGCTCTTTTTACAGGGAAATTTGGTACATCTCCCAGGATCATAAGAAATGCTTTATAAGTGACATAAATACATAAAATACCAATATTTCATCACTTTCTAGTAGCGTAGTTCCTTTCATTGAACATTTGAGGACTTCAACAAAGTTTTTATAAGAAAGGATTTAGAGAAAAAGTAGGTTTGTGGTTCTTTCGGCTTCTTTCAGGGATGATGCTGAAATGTTCAACATTTAAAACTGCCAAGAACATGTAGTGTTCAAAAGTGTGTTAAGGCTTCATTAACTTTCACTAATTAAGCCTTAGATTACTCAGGATTAGTACTTTTAAACAGCTGAATTATATAGTTGCCATCAAATAAAATATACTGGCCAAAAATAACTTAGTCAAAGGGAGGGTCCTACAGTTGCTTCTTTAAAGTATGTCATTAGTCTATTAAGCATAGTCCGGGAGAAAGCAGTAGATTATGTTTTCAACCTCTATGGTAATTATTTCAAATTATCCATGTTTTAAAATCTAGTTTAAAATGTAGCATGGGTGCAGATGATGAAGTTTGCTGGTTTGAGGGAGAACACTAGTGCATGAAAGAGACATGCTGGCTGGGAGATGGACTGAGCATAGGGGCCAGCATAGGCATCTGTACGTCCTGTTGTATGGGCAGCTGTATTCTCCTAGATGGTGGCCAACAGTGAGTGTATTATATGGATAGAAGCAAAGTTGGAACTGGCTTAGAATCTGAACTATTTTATTTTCCTTTCTGGCTTCCAGGGATAATCCAGGTCAGTGATTTCCCATCTTTTCAGAGTTTTAACACCCAACTGGTCATTGTGGCTTGATTCCTTGGGGAATATACATCCACTTAAAAATATGTTCTATTTACACGTATTCTTATGTAAACATATTTTTCTTAAGGAAAGAATTAAAATCCATTTATTTTGAAAAATATAAGAAATCTTAAGATTATCAGAGGAACCCTGGGGTTTTATAAACCTAAAGTTGGGAATCACTGATGATATATTCTGTGCTTAAAACCTGGATGAAATTCAGGTCTCAGGCAGACCAACAACTTCGAAAGAGTTTAGTTGTGAATCAGAAATAGACTTCAGTTTCCTTAAGTTCTGTACAAACATGAAAGTCCTAGAGTGAGTTCCATTTTCATTTAAATGTCCTTAGTACAGGGTTCCTATCATTGTGCTTCAAATAAAGGCACAAGGACCAGGGACCATTCTCTAGCAGTGACTTGACCTGAAGTCCACTGAGACACCGAGCGAGCTAGATATGTGACATCTGGCTGGGTGTGGTGACGTGTGCCTGCAATCCCAGTACTCTAGAGGCTGAGATAGGGGGCCTCAGGTGTGAGCCTAGCTCAGACAATTTAGCAAGACCCAATCTCAAAATTTTTTTAAAAAGGACTGGTGATATAGATCAATGAGAAAGCCCTGACACCAATCCCTAGTACCACCAAAAAAAAAAAAAAGGAAGAAGAGAGAGACGCCATCCTGTTATCACCAGTTACTGTTTATACAAGAGATGAGACAAAACAAGACCTCAAGCCAATGTATCCACCCTAGGAATTAAAGAACTAGTTGGGGAGTCTGGGGACATGATGTCATGAAAACCACTTCGTGGAAGAATTTGTGAGCCACTGTAAATGTAGTTCTTTTCATAGAAATGGACTCTCATTTAAAATATTGTCAGATATATTATTTAGAATTTTCAATGTATTCCTATCTTATCCTCCAACCTGAGACCACAAAATCTGGAAATTGTTGTCACACCACTCATTCCTGAGGCCTGAGTTTAGGAACGCAGAGGTTTTGTGACTCAAGAAAGAAAGGGGTGGAAAAGAGGGGATAGAGAGAAGAGTTTGTTTCTGGTCTAGGACTTACTGAGTCCCTGATGGTGTTGTATTATTGACAGTAATTGAGTAACACCTCCTGTTTATCGAGTACTTTCTATAAAACTGGTTAGCTTAGTAATGATTATAGGTTCTTTCAATTACTTATCTTCCATTCTTGGAATGAGAAATTAGACATCGATATTAAACAATGATCCCTAGACCACACCTGATGAACAAATAGCTGCACTAGGATTGAGAAGCACCTAGGGCTTCACTGAGATCCTACTCTTTCCCCAAGGAAGAGCCAGGCCCAGGCATGGTTTTGAAACAAGAGGCCAGATCCTACTTTTCATCTCTTAGTTTCTCCTTCTGGCTAGATTTAATCCTGATCTTTTGAGTCCCTCTCACGCTGTTCCCCATAGTTCCCCCTGCCCCACACAGTGTTGAAACCTATTTTCTCAGTGAATGAGATGTCACCTTGCTTTCACAAGAAAAGTAAATGACAAAACTTTTTGCTAAGATGTGGAGGGCTAAGCCTCTAGTGATCTATCCAAACAAAGAGTCTCATTTCTCCTCAGATTTTCAAAAAGGAAACCTTAATGCCAAAGGTGGCTTTCTAATCTTAAGCACTCACACAAAAAAAATCCCCCCTGGGAGAATTATGAAAATATAAGCTTGTTTGTGCTTCCCAAACACTCTCCTGACAATGCCTGTGTATTTCGGTGGGACCTTTTCCTTCTACACTTAAATGTAAAATACCTCTTAAAAGTTTCATCTCCAGAGGAAGTGAGTACCATGTAGGTGTCAAGCAAAGGTGTTGGGGAGGCAGCTTTTGCTCTTTATGGGCATGACTTATTAGTAGTGAGGACTCATATGGTTGAATTGTATTAAAGTTGATGTGTGATAATGTTTGGCCAAGGAAATGCAAGAGCCACCGGGTTCCTCTCTCTTAAGGGGAGATCACAGAGCTGCGAGCAATAGACGTGTTGAAACCAAGCTTGTAACTTGTCTGAACAACTTCCTCCAGTCTTATTTTTATTTATTCATTTGTTTTTAGGCACCAATTGACAATGGTTCAAAAATCACCAGCTACCTTTTAGAATGGGATGAGGTAAGCATATTTGTACATTTGTCATCTAAAACACCATTTCAGAAATAAAATTGCTAAACAAATACCATTTTATTCTTTTGAAAGAATACCTAAGTACACAAGTGACGCTAAGTAGACAGGCACTTAAGTCAATAATTACTGAATATGGAAAAGGAAGACGATTGAAGTAATGGAGTGAATTGTGCATTATATTTACCTGGCTGATTTACAAGCAGTGCTACTAAAAGAAGCACAAGGTGTGATCTGTTTGAGTCGCTAGTGCCCCACCAGCCATTTTTATTTGTAGTAAAAATTGACTTCTTTGTTATCTTGGCTGCTGGTATGGTTTTGATAAAACACTCTGGTTGGAAAGCACCATTTGTGAATCCTTTGGGGACTTTGATATGTGTGCTCTGGTGTTGCCCTGTTGAGTGTTCTCTGCAGGAGACTAGAGCAGCGCACCAAGTTCTCCCTCTACCCAAGCCCCTTAGGAGTTAGATACTGTCCATAACCCCTAACTTCTTGTTGCCCATTGGCAGAGACCTTGAGATGGTCCTCAAGGTGAGTCTCCTTGAGTTCAGAGCCTCTCTGCCAACAGTGACCAATGAACCTCTGGAATGTCAGGCAACAGACGCTTGGTGCAGAAGACTTTTGTTCCAAAAAAGCGACTAAGCTTTTTGCTCTTGTCTGTCTAATTCCATTCATTCATTGGCCTTACTTTGTTCTGTCTTTCTGTGCTTGAACAAGTAGCCCAAGCATTTTAAGAATAGAAAATGTAGAATTTGAGGATAAGTGCAAGTTAAGTGGTCTTTGTGAAAATATTTTGGAAAATATTTTAACTAAATGTGAAATGAAAAGTATGAAATTCTCATGATGAAATTTTGATGTGAAAATGGGGTCCTTCCTTGCTTTCTTCAGAAAGTATTTGCTCACCTATGTTATGTCTGAACAGTTTGAATTCCAGGTTACCAAAGATAGTGACCTAATGTCTTTAGGATCCTTATGAATAGATCAGATACACAGATTGGTGAAATCTCAGGCTGCACTGGTACATTTTACAGATTAGGTGGATTTTATTGTAGAGTGATTTGATTAGAAAATGTAGCCACCACTAGAGCTCTTAGATGTTTACATAAAAACAAGAATGTTGGAAAACCCTTGACGGACTGTAAGCATGTAGTAATATCTTCCCATCCCCAGTTCCCTGTAAAGATGACTGAGAGTTTAATGCAAGTCTGTTCTTCTGTGTTGATTTGTTATATTGATCTGATGCCTTTTCTCATGTATTGAAGTTGTACATCAAGACAGAGTTTACCAGTGAAGAGGTGCAAATGTCCTTCTCATTTCAGATGTCCTCTGAGGGTGGTGTGTGTGTGAGTGTGTGTGTGTGCTTCCATGTCCTCTGTGGTGTTTGTTTTGTTTTATTTTGTTTTGTGCTTCTCTGCCTGGGACCATGACTTTCTCAGTTACAGGAGGTCAAAAAAGTTGAATGTTTGAATGGGAAACCTCTAAGGAAAATCCAAGGTAGCATGCAGTGGCAGTAGTGACCCAGTTGCTGGCCCTGTCACTTAGTAAGTGAAGTGAAAGTCTCCTAGCATCCATGATGCTGAGAGATAACACGCTGCAGCCCCTGGTGAGAAGTATTAGCTGAAGCCGTGCTTGATGACACTTTATGCCCTGCAAAACCCCCTATGATCACAAAATGTTAAATTGTTGGCTTGGCATCTTCTGCCTTCTGCTTAATGTTCTCCCATCTTTTCCTCTCTTTTTTTTTTT